GAGGTGGAGGAGGAGGAGGAGGAGGAGGAGGAGGGGCGCCGTGAGTACCGGGGACGGAGGGCGGTGTGTCCCGTTTCCCCCCCAACGCCACCACCCCACCCGCGGGACGGAGGAGGAGGAGGAGGGAGGCAGGCGGCGGGGGGTCAGTGGAAGCGAGCCCCGATGCCCGCCGCCGCCGCCTTTTTTTGGGGTGTTGGTGTGGTGTCGGGGTGTGTGTGTGGGGGGGATGTGTGGGATGAAGGCTCGTTTCCACCCGCACCGCCGCGCACCTTTCCCCGCACCGCGCCCACGCGTGTCCGCGATCTTCCCCCCCGACCCCTCCTTCCTTTTACCCCCTACATCGGGGCACGGAGTGGGGGGTAACCCACCAAGAAACAATTTTGGCAAACTTACTTTCCTGCTTTTCCTGCCGTGCGTGTCCGTTCTCGGGCGGGAGGAAGGATGGGGGGTACCCGCACCACCACCAGCACCACCACCCCCTCTTCCAGGGCGGCGGGAGGACACGGCGGGACCCCCAGCCCCGGCGGGGAGGGCATCGCGACCGGTGGGGACGGCATCATGTTGAAGGCTGGGAGAGGGATGGTCCCTCCTCGCCCGCTGCATTGCTCCGGCGGGGCTGGAGCCGGGGTTGCGGGGTGGCTCCTTTGTAAAACGGAGCCCGTGGATTTCCTGGGCGGGAGAGGAGACTTTTCTTTTTTTTTTTCCCCCCCTTTCGGTTCTCCCAAGGCGCAACCTGCCCTTTTCTTCCGCTGTGGCAGCGCTGATTTTTTTTTTTTTTTAATTATTTTTTATTACTATTATTATTATTATTGAGGGAGGTGTGTGTGTGCGCGATTTTATAAGAAAAGCGTCTGCTTGGCGCTTCTGTGGAACTGCTCTCCCTGGGCTAGGGCAGTTCATCCCGAGCGCGAGTACGAGGGCTGCTTTCCAGAATTGCATAATACACACCGATCCCTTTTTGCTGCACAAACTCCCTGACATTTCCAGATCTTGGTGACTTCCCCCACTGCAATCTTAAAACCGGATTGGGACTCCAACCAGCGCGTTGAGCTAATTTGTCCTGCCTTTGCTGGGGGACAGAACCTGGTCTGCATGTTCCGGCTTCCCTGGCTCCTCCGGCAGTTGTTTCTTAATCCACTAAACTTTTTTTTTTTTTTTTTTTTTTG